TGTAGTCGTGTGACTCGCTGACGCAACAGTACTCTCCTCACAACAAGAACACGACTTTCACCAGGACTGTACATGATACTTTGATTATATCTTTATTGAAGTAATTTTTAAATGTAGTACTGAGGAACTGGAGTTCTTAAAAAAACTATTATTTTTTCAATATAAAAACATTAGAGCTTATATGAATAAAAGTCATGAAAATTTTGAGTTATGTTCATTGAATCATTTTGATACAATGAGATGCGTATGACTAAAGAGAACAATTCGAACATTTTCCCCATGCAGTACTTCCTAGAAATAAATCCTTTTTTAAAAAAATGTTCACTTTTTTCTATTTTTTTTCATTGAGGTATGAATATTACGATTAGTAATTACTAGTACAAACAACCCACCCATAGGGCGACGTCTCTGCTGCTAATGCTAATTACATCCTCCCAAGTTGACACGACACATTTGTTTATCTCATAATATTGTCGCTTGTGTTTCTGGAAAACTTATATTTACATAAATTACTTAGTAATATGACGTTGTTCTTGGATAACATTTATCTCAAATACCTCTTTGCAAGAACATAACATCAACATTGATGAACCTAGTAACAAGGCTTATTAATTTGGATTTTAAAAAAAATATTTTTTTGCAATATCACAGCTCCAACTAGGATTTTACTGTCACGTAAATTTGTTTGTTCTAGAATTTTCACTCAAATATACACAAAGAACTATCTGCTCAGAGACTCCCCAATTTTGAACTGATATTGATAGACTAGGGGAAAGGCAGATACTCAACAGTACCTCAACCAGTTATCGTGCTACTGTAATTGAATAGTGAGATTTCACTGTTGTTCTTATAATACACCTACAACCTCAAAGTACGGAGCGTATTTTTGGGAAAACGGGCCACGAACCATGAACTTCGGATTCACATTTTAGGCACCCTAAACATCAGACCACGCCCGGTCCCATCTGTTTGTTTGAAGTTAAGCAGAAAGCTACACAATGGGCTATCTATGCTCTGCCCACCCC